GCTTGTGGTCTCCACGTTTGTATCTTACCTACATCATACTGTGACACTCCGTTATCGGCTTGTGGTCTCCACGTTTGTATCTTACCAACATCATACTGTGACACTCCGTTATCGGCTTGTGGTCTCCACGTTTGTATCTTACCTACTTCATACTGTGACACTCCGTTATCGGCTTTTGGTCTCCACGTTTGTATCTTACCAACATCATACTGTGACACTCTGTTATCGGCTTGTGGTCTCAACGTTTGTATCTTACCAACATCATACTGCGACACTCCGTTATCGGCTTGTGGTCTCCACGTTTGTATCTTACCTACATCATACTGTGACACTTCGTTATCGGCTTGTGGTCTCCACGTTTGTATCTTACCAACATCATACTATGACACTCCGCTATCGGCTTGTGGTCTCCACGTTTGTATCTTACCTACATCATACTGTGACTCTCCGTTATCGGCTTGTGGTCTCCACGTTTGTATCTTACCTACATCATACTGTGACACTCCGTTATCGGCTTGTGGTCTCCACGTTTGTATCTTACCTACATCATACTGTGACACTCCGTTATCGGCTTGTGGCCTCCACTTTTGTATCATACCTAGATCATACTATGACACTCCGCTATCGGCTTGTGGTCTCCACGTTTGTATCTTACCTACATCATACTGTGACACTCCGTTATCGGCTTGTGGCCTCCACGTTTGTATCATACCTAGATCATACTATGACACTCCGTTATCGGCTTGTGGTCTCCACGTTTGTATCTTACCTACATCATACTGTGACACTCCGTTATCGGCTTGTGGTCTCCACGTTTGTATCTTACCTACATCATACTGTGACACTCCGTTATCGGCTTGTGGTCTCCACGTTTGTATCATACCTAGATCATACTATGACACTCCGCTATCGGCTTGTGGTCTCCACGTTTGTATCTTACCTACATCATACTGTGACACTCCGTTATCGGCTTGTGGTCTCCACGTTTGTATCATACCTAGATCATACTATGACACTCCGTTATCGGCTTGTGGTCTCCACGTTTGTATCTTACCTACATCATACTGTGACACTCCGTTATCGGCTTGTGGTCTCCACGTTTGTATCATACCTAGATCATACTATGACACTCCGCTATCGGCTTGTGGTCTCCACGTTTGTATCTTACCTACATCATACTGTGACACTCCGCTATCGGCTTGTGGTCTCCACGTTTGTATCATACCTGGATCATACTATGACACTCCGCTATCGGCTTGTGGTCTCCACGTTTGTATCTTACCTACATCATACTGTGACACTCCGTTATCGGCTTGTGGCCTCCACGTTTGTATCATACCTAGATCATACTATGACACTCCGCTATCGGCTTGTGGTCTCCACATTTGTATCTTACCTACATCATACTGTGACACTCCGTTATCGGCTTGTGGTCTCCACGTTTGTATCTTACCAACATCATACTGTGACACTCCGTTATCGGCTTGTGGCCTCCACGTTTGTATCATACCTAGATCATACTATGACACTCCGCTATCGGCTTGTGGTCTCCACGTTTGTATCTTACCTACATCATACTGTGACACTCCGCTATCGGCTTGTGGTCTCCACGTTTGTATCATACCTAGATCATACTATGACACTCCGCTATCGGCTTGTGGTCTCCACGTTTGTATCTTACCTACATCATACTGTGACACTCCGCTATCGGCTTGTGGCCTCCACGTTTGTATCATACCTAGATCATACTATGACACTCCGCTATCGGCTTGTGGTCTCCACGTTTGTATCTTACCTACATCATACTGTGACACTCCGCTATCGGCTTGTGGTCTCCACGTTTGTATCTTACCTACATCATACTGCGACACTCCGTTATCGGCTTGTGGTCTCCACGTTTGTATCTTACCTACATCATACTGCGACACTCGCCAGGGTAAGGACGACACGGAAGGTACACGGTGCCGCGCCCTGATAGCATCAACTACATGGGGAGGGGACTGCCCCGGGGTCCTTGAGTACGGGGTCGGTATTGCGGTTCACGAGCGATGGCAACACGTGATCTACCAGACGGCTTACGACGTGTTGTTGGTGCATATTGCAGTCACGAACAACACAATTACATACACTACTGAAATTAAATAGACAGGTTTGTTTGTTTGTTGTGTGAGGCCGCACTCCAATATTTCAGCTATATGACGGCGGTCTGTAAATAATCGCGTCTGGACCAGACAGGGTAGGTTCGCAGTTAGTGAGTGAGTGAGTTGGGTTTAACGCCGCTTTTAACATTAGTCCAGTTATATCACGGCGTGTCAGCTTAATGTGGGAGGAAAGCCCGAAGTGATGCAGGTCTCAGACGTTTAGCACTTCGGTGAAACCCACGAGCACGGGTATGGTGCTGACAAACCTAGAAACATAATCGGGGTTTCTGGCGTGCCCAAGTGACGCAACTCTGCACAGCGAATCGCGACGCCTTAGACGACTGGGCCACCCGTGCCCCCGGTTCGCAGTTAGGATATGATGACATGCATCAATCAAATCAGCGTGCCTGTCCACCCGATCCCATTACTAGTTGCCTTTTACGGCCAGACTCATTTTTTTAACAGATCGTCGTCATGTAGCTGGAATATTGCTGGGTGCGGCAAACAAATACTATAGTGAGGAATCGTACCCGGGTCTTCGACGAGGGAACGCTTTAACCACTAAGCTACCCCAGCGCCCGACTTACTTAAGACATATTCTCATCGGAACTGAATGTACTCTGTGGAGGGATTGTTTTTGGGGAAACTAGCATGCCATACTGGGGATCAACTCAGCCGGAGTTCCCATGAGCAGGTCAGGTGAGGTGAGGTGAAATGGGGTTTAACGTCGCGTCCAAGATTATTGCACTTATATAGCGACGTGCATGCACGTGTGTGTGGCTGCTTGTACTAGTTCGGACTGATGCCGATTTATAGTGCTAGCTCACTGAGATACCATGCGGCAGTTTAACATGAATACCCCACTCAGACACAGTATACTGACTCCGAGCCGACCAGTCCTTGTTTTAGCCCTTTAATGCCGAGCGCCAGACAGGGTAACAACAAGTACCATCTTTTAACGTCTTTTGGTATGACGCGGCCGTCCGCTCTCCGGGCGGACGCTCTACCACTAGACCACGGAGGCGGTCTCCCATGAGCAGACAATGGGTAATAGAACGTCTGCATCACTTTCCTTCCCAAAGTAAGCTGTCACGCCGGATATAACTGGAATAATGTTAAAACCGGCGATAAACCCAACTTACTCACTCTTAGGTACTGGAGACAAGCTTCCGCGGAATTCCGGAAGTCAAACATGGGGTATTGTGGGCACACGTATAGTTTGTTTGTTTGTTTGTTGTTTAACGCCGCACAGCAATATTCCAGCTATAATATATGACGGCGGTCTGTAAATAATCGAGTCTGGACCAGACAACCTAGTGATTGACATCATGAGCATCAATCTACACAATTGGGATACGATGACATGTATGAACCAAATCAGGGAGCCTGACCACCCGATCCCGTTAGTCGCCTCTTACAAGCATGGGTTGCTGAAGACCAAATCCGGAATCTTCATGGGAAAGCAATAGTATAGAAAACTGGAGACAAGTATGCGGTATTGTTGGCACAAGTGTAGAGAACTGTAGACAAACTCTGCCCCGTTATTCCCACGAGGGCCTGTGAAACAGATGGAAGCGGGGGGAACCTACATATATGTCAAACATTGTCGGAAACGTTTATACACTCAATGATGTATTTCTGTACATTTCTGTAGCACAGATGAGGTGATAGTACAAGCCACGAATATACACCATTAATCACGTTCAAAAGAAAGAAGCTCGTCAAAAATACCAAACAGGGGTATCGAATGATCGGGCACCAACTGGCATCATGCCTCGCCAAGGGGGAACTGATTGCAGAATATTGGCAGTGGCACCGACCGATAGACACCAACGTTCACACAGGAACAAATAATCCCATTGTTTAGCAAGGCACGGTGTTTACAGACACGGCCCTGCATGCGATATGTCGATTGGTGAAGTCATGTACAGGTGATTGCGAACTGGAAGCACATCCTGGGTATCTACAGGCGGCGATGTTCAGTAAGGTTGGTGTAAGGCCGCTTTCGGTGAGCGAGTTGGGTTTGACGCCACTTTTAACAGTATTCCAGTAATATAACGGCGAGTCAGCTTAATGTGGGAGGAAAGCCCGGAGTGATGCAGGTTTCAGATGTTTACCTCTTTGGTGAAACCCACGAGCACGGGTATGGTGCTGACAAAACTAGAAACATAATCGGGGCGAACCGGGATTCGAACCCACGACCATTGGATTCAACAGAACCAAGTATGACATGACCCTTGTGTAGTGTGAGGAGCTGTATCTACGTGGCGATTCCACACTGGAACGTGGAGGGAATGTTGCCGACGCCGCAATCAGCACTATTCCATCGGCTTCACGGCGGTTCGTAATAATAGTCTAAAAACCAACAGGATTTATCTAGGATTTCAAACTATACCGAGTGCCCTTAGCTGGGAAATTGGGATGGTTTTTTAAAAAAAAAATTGGGATTTATTCTTATTTTCTCAAAAGAGGTGTTATTAACACTGGGGTCATCTTACAAGGCCATACCATTCGTTATTGATTATAACATATTCGGGGGGAAAATTCATTCTATTTTGGGATTATTGTTTGTTGGCTGCAGACAAGAGGCCGAATATTATCGATCTGAGCAGGCTTCGTTACCTCAATCTGTGAGTGAGTGAGTTTGGTTTTACGCCGCTTTTAACAATATTCCAACAATATCACGGCGGGGGACACCAGAAATGTGCTTCACACATTGTACCCATATCGGGATTCGAACCCGGGTCTTCGGCATGACGAGCGAACGCTTTAACCACTGGGCTACCCGACCGCACCTCGTTACCTCATAACAGACAACAGTATCATTATCATGAACGCTTTATTCTGAATGGCAAAATATGAACAAGAGATAATATAGAACATGCAATTGAGATCATGTAATGGTGAACACATTTCTATCATTGCGAAACAATGGGACAAGAGTGTCGGGAAAATAAAGATGTACAAACATTTGCGATACATTTACCCTTTACTTAGAAGGGCGGTACCGGAGTAGAAAATCAACAATAAACAACGTGTCAGTGTCAAAGTGGGGGGCAATGCTGTTATGAGCGAGTATATCCGAAGTATTTACATTGCAGTGTTAGGCATAAGTACGAGTTTTCAATTCAAAGTCGGCCAGTCAATAAAAACATGGACTTGCTGGAAGCTTGTGATTGGTGAAGCACTCGAGCCAATGAGAAGAGAGCGGCTGGTTGTCATGGTGTAGCGACAGCACTTGAAAAATAACAAACTCAACAACGGAAAAACAATGAAAAAATGATAAATAATACTGACGGAAATGAGGAAGTATTTCTTGATATACTTATGTACAAAACCTGAGCTGATGAACGAAAAGAAACACTTGGATCTCGTACTTGCATAATTACTGGAGGCAGTACATTATTTTGCATATATACGGTAAGGCAGCGAGGTTGCAGCAAAGTTGCACCAATGTCTGCATATATGAGTCATGTTGAGGTAGAGCGCGGTGGAACCACATTAAGGTCGCGTCCGGATTATCTGTAGTTTTACATTTTACTTAACTAGATGAAATGAGCATCACACGTACAAGCACGAGACGCTCAACTACCGTAATACACCTAACAGAGGGACAGCAACATGTCAGTTTGTGCACTTCTCTTGTATATTTTCTCTTAGTTTCTAATACTGAATTAACTGGATTAAAACATGCCAGTATAACATTGGACGCCTTGGGTTTAAACATTCTCAATGGTTATAGGCAATGGGACCTGGGTTTGCGCAATGGTCAAGGAATGTAAGTGAGTACCCGTTCTACCCGCTTCGTAGATGTCTACGCGTTTCTATTTGTAATGCGTGAAGGTTATTACCTGGACGTATCTTCACATACCAGAATGCATACAACTTGTATTCCTACAAATATACCAGAAGCATACAACTTGTATCCATGCATATGTAACAGGATGTGTACAAGTTGTATCCGTACACATATACCAGGACGTATACAACTTGTATTGCTCCAAACATCAGGTTGGATTGGATAACCTGTATCCTACATGTATCTGTAGATATACAATTTGTAGTCCTTACTCGCCAGAACGACAGAGCCATAGTCCATGAGGGTCACATCGAAACACTGGGCGTGTTTCACCTTGGATTCCAGAGCGTTGACGAGCTGGCCGCCCTGTGTGAAGATGGTGATGTTGAAGTTGTTGTGGTTGTCGGCGACGACTACTTGGCCAGCTGCGTTGATACCGACGCCGATGGGGTAATTTGTGATCCCCTCCCCTCCGATCTGTCGCAGCAGAACGCCGTGGTAGCTGAACACCTTCACAGAGTGGGCGCGGTTGTCGCTGATGAAGATTTCCTCCTTGTCGTTGACCACGACGCTGTTGGGAAACTGCAGGTGTTTGGAGCAGGAGAACATGTTGAGCACGTTGCCGATGTTGTCGAAGATGATGACCCGCATCACTTTACACTCCACCACGATGATCCTCCCGGCGTTGTCGACTGCCACTCCTCGCGGGTGCTGCAGGATGTTGGCGCCGAATTTTCGAAGGAACTGGCCGAATTGGTTGTAGACCTGGACTTGGTGGGTGGGGCTCCGCTCGGTCAGGACAATGTCCCCCGAAGACCCCACGACGGACACACGGTTAGGGTACAACAGCTGACCGTTGTGCTTGCCGCATTCGCCGAACTGGAACTTGAATCTTCCTTCGGTGTCAAAAATCTGGATACGATGGTTGTTGGTGTCGGCAACGATGATGTCGTTCTGGGCGTTGACGGTGACGCCACTGGGTTCGGTGAACTGCCCTTCCAGCACTCCAAACTCCCCGAACCTGCAGTGGTAGATCATCTTGTGACGTCGAACGTGGGAGGTCAGTGGGCAGAGAAGAGACACGTGACTTCCGGAACTGGGGGTCGGGGACAGGACGTCCAGACTGGACGACATTATGTCCGAACCACTGGACCACGTGTTGTACTGGTCACCTGGAAGCATGAGGTCACTGGCGCCGTACTGCTTATACACGTTGATATTGGGGGGTTCGTCAAAAATGTTTCCAGTAGACGATAGCCTGGTGGTGGTAGAAAGAAGGTGTTCTATGGCCTGGCACGTGGGAAGGTTCTCAATAGTCGGGCAGGTTGGAGTTAAGCTGGTCTTTCTGAAGAGCGACTCGTTTCCCTGGCTGACGTAACCAAACGTATTGCGGACACCCGTCTGGATGGCCTGATAGTTGGATATGAACTCTATCTCGGAGCAGTCCTGATTATCCAGGTTTGGCAAGAAGGTGAACATGTTATGGAATCTACGTTCAACAAAAGTCTTCAGCATCAGACATTCTGTGACGGAAGCGTTATTTAGGAGTTTGTTAACGAACTGGATACCTTGGCAAAGACTACTCAGACATTCCTGGATGTTCTGGGCCCGGGTGGTGATGGCAGCCTGCTTGTCGTTGAGAGCCTGATCGAGTTCTTTCAGGGTCTCGTCTTTACGTTCTTCAAGCTTGGCGATGTAGAAGTCGTGAGTGTCATTGATGTCATTCTGGGCCTTGAGGTACTGAGTTTGGAGGTTTATCGAGCCGACACCAATCCCTTTCGCCGTAGCCCGTAAATCTTCAATCTTAATTCTAGCACTGTCCTCCAGGTTTCTCAACATCTCTATTTCTGTTTCCGCTACTTCGGTCAGGAACTGGCAGTCGTGGCCGCGACCGTGGTCAAGCAGCACACATTCCTTACACACTGGTTCAGCGCACGTCTTGCAGTACATCTTGAGTACATCGATCTTGTGTTTGGGGCAGTTTACTGGTTTCTCGGAATTGCAAGTATCCTTGTTAATCTGCAGGTCCTCCAGGCTAATGACTCGGTGGCCTTCAAAACAGTGCATGAACTGATGCGCCATAACACAGTTGGCACAGAGGAAGTTTGCACAGTCGAAACAACGGGCAACAACATTGGCTTCTTTGCTTTTACAACCAGTGCAGTGTATGGCACAGGGGTCGAGAGTGGACAGCTCCATGATATTGCTGACGGTGTAGTCCTGTCGGAGTCCAGTGAGGCCATCGGACCCGAGGTATGTGTCGAAGTGGCATTCCGGACAGGTCACTTTGTCCGTGACCTTGACCTTCTCGAGGCATGGCTGACAGAAGGTGTGGAAGCAGCCCAGCAGTTTGGGGATGGAGTAGATGTCGTTACAGATGCTGCAGCGGGTGTTAAGGCCGGTGGAGTCCAAGTCGCTGTCGGAGGAGCTCGAGACGGTGGTGGACATGTCGACCTCGGACGGGGGAGAAGAGGACGTCATGGTTACACGGCGTCACGGCGGGGGACTTGGGTAGAGGGCGGAGTCTGGCGAACACAGAAAGGTGGATTAGTGGTGATTAGAAGTTTAGTTACACCAACGCTGGTAAACGGGGGATAAAAACGTCATACTGGATTCAGAGAATGGTGAATGTTACACAGAAATGTATTTTTTTCAGCCTAAACAGTCAGTGATTAGCTTAATGTGGGAGGAAAGCCCCAAGTGATGCCGGTCCCAGACGTTTACCACTTCGGTGAAACCCACGACCACGGGTATGGTGCTGACAAACCTAGAAACATGATTTGGTCGAACCGGGATTCGAACCCACAATCATAGGTTTCTGGCGTGCCCAAGTGACGCAACTCTGCACAGCAAATCGCGGCGCCTTAGACGACTGGGCCATCCGTGCCCCCCTCAGCCTAAACAGGACCACCCAACAGAAAATGTACAGCAAAACTACACTAAGAATGTCAACATACTGATATCCCAAATACTTATTGAGGCTAAAAAACGGAAACTTTTCTCGGGCATCCGCTCACTTTAAATTTATAAAAATATTATAAGTAGTAAGTAGTAATCATTCATTTGATCGGAACCACAGTCTACAAGCTTGGGGGGGGGGGGGGGGGGGGGTCCCAATTACAACCAAACATCTCGACTTTGTTGTTGTTGGTTTGTTTGTTGTTGGTGCTTGTGGGTTTCACCAAAGTGATAACGTTTTAGCCCTGCATCACATCGGGCTTTCCGCCCACATTAAGCTGACACGCCGTGATATAATGGCATAATGTTAAAAGCGACGTTAAACAACTCACTCAGTATCAATACCATGTCGTACGAGGAGTGGCATAAAACCCTCACTCACTCACACGGTCTGTCTCACAAGGCGATTTGGTTGGTTGGTTGGTTTGTTGTTTAACGCCGCACTCAGTAATATTCAAGCTATATGACGGCGGTCTGTAAATAATCGAGTCTGGACCAGACAATCCAGTGATTGACATCATGAGCATCGATCTACGCAATTGGACCAAGTCAGCGAGTCTTACCACCCGATCCCGTTAGTCGCCTTTTACGACAAGCATAGTCGCCTTTAACGGCAAGCATAGGTTGCTGAAGACCTATTCTAACCCGGATCTTCACGGGTCTCTCGACTTTGACAGTCAAGGGGAGGCAGGCAAGATCACATTCAGTATATTTCGTTTCTCATTTTCTTTTCATTTACGATGAATAACGGAAAGTGGTGAAACTCAGGTCTTACCACTCAGTTTCTAGACACACTTGATTATTTTATAATCTTGAATGACCTAAATGTACCATTAAAAAGTTAAAGAACGCCCGACCTTTCATATGCCCATAGTTTATCTGTCATGACATGAAAGATCGATAAACTAGACATAACCAAACTATTAGGTGTTCTTTAACTTCTATTAAGTAGCAAGTAGCATAATTATATATAATGCTATTAATCACAATTTACTGGCAGATGGCGTGGCCTGCCCCTTGAGGATAGAACATGCCGTCCGAGTGTCGATCTATAGCAGATGAATTTCACTATCTACTTTAATGTCGTTACTTTATCTTTCATAGATACGTGTATTTAAAACGATTTTACTTGGACAAGGGTTATTAAATATAAACGTGTTAAACCCTACAAAAAATTACGTTGAATATCATGCCAGTATTCATTTGTCTGTCTCTCATCACCTGTACTTGTGTAAAATATGCTCTTGTAGCACCGTGGGTGGTTTTGAGAATATAATGTCTGTTAACGCCGCACACAGCAATAATGACGGCGGTCTGTAGATAATCGAATCTGGACCAGGCAAACCAGTGATTGACAAGAGAATCGATCTACGCAATTAGGATACGAGAAACGATGACATGCATCAACCAAGTCAACGAGCCTGACCATCCGATCCCGTTAGTCGCCTCTTACGGCAAGCATGGGTTGCTGAAGACCTATTCTACCCGGATCTTTACGGGTGCAGAATAAAAATGGCATGGTTGAAGACTATATATACAAAATCTACGATTGATAGAAACTAACATTGATTCTTACCATCACAAACTATCACTGTCCTGTCCCAGTGAAAGTCATTAAACTAGTACAACCGACACATTAAACATGCACACAACTACATTGAATGTTTAATATCTATACATGTGTGCAACTACAAAAGAGTTGTTTACAGCAATGGTATAAATAATTAAAGTAGTATATACTTTACATTGGACTAAAAAATATTAAAGTTTTAACAAGAATGCGGAAAATGCGTAACCGTCTTGAACCAGCATACAATCTACTATTTCTAAGATATACCCAAATGTATCGTTTGTTTCCATATCGATTCGGTTGTACGTCAAGAAATGGAACATTTTCTAGTCAAATCGGATAAAACAAATGTAAACATTTCGTCTGAAGTAGACAATAGAATTATTTGATGTACATTACAGTTGTAGTGAGTGAGTGAGTTGGGTTAAGCGCCGCTTTTAACAGTATTCAAGTTATATCGCGGCGTGTCAGCTTAATGTGGAGACAAGCTTCCGCAGAATTCCGGAAGTCAAAGATGGGGTATTGTGGGCACACGTATAGTTTGTTTGTTTGTTGTTGTTTTTAACGCCGCACTTAGCAATATTCCAGCTTTCTGACGGCGGTCTGTAAATAATCGAGTCTGGACCCGACATTCATTGATTGATAGCGTGAGCATCGATCCACGCAACTGGGATACAACGACATGCACCAGCCAAGTCAGCGAGCCTGACCACCCGACCCCGTTAGTCGCCTCTTACGACAAGCATAATCGCTTTTTAGGGCAAGTATGGGTTGCTGAAGACCTGTTCTACCCCGGGTCTTCACAGGCTTTTGTTTGTTGTTT